CTGTGGTTGCGTCATGCAATGCAGGCTGATGTAGGTGTGCGAGGTGAATAGACCCAAGGCATGCAAGTAACAAGGTGATTATGAGTACAGTATTTGTCAAGTGTTATTGGTATCAATGTTTGGTCAAGTGGCAGAAGTTACATGTCAAGCATGTATATCCCCTGTATCTAGGTCTTTGGTATCGATTAAAATGTCCAACTCTCAGCTAAAACCAAGTTTTTCATCAAGAAACGTTCCCGCCAAGATGATACGAAAAATGGACTTGAACATCTAATCAGCGCCAATGAGATGCTTGGGCAAAAAGGTCCAGATGGTTCCCAGCACACCCAGTATGGAAAAGAGAACCAGCAAGACACCAGAGATGACCTTTTCACGTGCTGGCACGTCATCCCAGAACAGTTTGAGGTGGAACGAGATGGGGAGGATGATGGAGATGAGGGTGCACAGTGCAGCGCCGAGGAAGGCGCATACAGAGTCAAAGGCTGGGAATACGATGGAGATGAAGAGCAGGAGGAGCACGACAAAGACGCGTACGAGACCTCGGATGAGCTGGGTGACAAAGGGTGAGGTTCGAGGGGACTGGTGTTCATGGTGGTGGTGATGGTGATGGTGTTCGTGGACACCGCAGAGGACGTCCATTGTCGTGATGATGGGTCGGGCATTGAGGGGGATCTTGGTCAGGGGGATGATGGCGATGAAGATGCACATGACAATGTCCATGCCATCGGGGTATCCTGCCGTCTTGAGGATGTTGGAGGTGATGGCGTCTTTGATGCCATCGCCAAACATAAGCAGGCCGATGACAGCTAGGCAAGTATCCAAGACATACTGAGTACAGTTAGAAAGGGGCACAATACAAGAGACTATGCTGATAACTTACAGAGAACGAAAAGGTCACGTTGACGGCCTTGCCCCATTTATAGGGGTGACGCATATCTCGATAGATCTATACCGTTCAGTCAGCCTTGAACCTCGACAACAAGCGCAAACAACCATACCGATGGAAAGACCGAGTGAGCACCCCAAGGGCTAGCCAAGAGACCATACGCAAGAGGCAGCGCAAGCCAGTTCTCGGGAAGGAGATACGTCGTGGCCGGTTCCCGCAGAGAACCTGGATAGTGAGGCTTGGAGAGACCATCTATGATGACGATCATGACAACTATTAGAGGTGAGTAAGAGAACACAGCAAGCACGGAGAATGTAAATACGCACTGCAGAATGTTGACATGATGCCTACGATGCTGGTGTAGCTCAGGAGGCGCAGCGGCAACGCATTGAGGACCAATACCAACCCAGCCGCAATAACCTTCCAGGTATTAACAGTAGCTAAGCCTGGAAGCAGCAGGTCTAGCGAGTCAGCAAAGAGAATCACGAGGGCGACGCATGCTCCGATCAGCTCCAGAGTGAAGAGCGCGGAGACGACAACTCGGGCTCGAGGACCAAACGAGACATAGGCCAGGTCTGAGTAGGTGATGAGTGTAGCATCGTAGTCCATGCACTTGGCCAGCAGCTTTCCGGTATGCGAAGTGACAGCCGCCGTCAGTGTGAGGATAATGAGTCCGGGAATCCATCCCGATATCTGGAGGGCCAGTGGGAGACTGAGAAGACCCACACCGATGAGGGCGTTGATCGAGTTGAAGACGGACTGTGGGAGAGTACTCTGACCCTCGACAGCGAGCACAACCTTGTCACCCTGCTTCACCTCCTTGATGAGAATCGGTTGATGCTCGCCATGCGCAGCATCTTCAACTGGCTCTTCATCCGCGACCCCCCATCCGCTGCCTTCGCTAAAAGATATACGGTGGCGCATGGTACCGTCTACAGCGCCATATGGCGAAGTGCTCCGGAACGAACCATAGCTGCCAACAATGTCTGGGGCCGCGAGATGAGGAGGAACAGCAAAGATACTGGATCGGCTAGAGAAGGACCCAACATGCAAAGCACCAGCAGCCTCGACATCGAGCAGCGGCTTACTCTCCCCATCGTTCAATGCGCCCCGAATAAGCCGGGGCGACGACCCGAGACTCGAGCTGGGCTCACCATTGGGCTGCACCGTCGACGACGACGAAGCTTCCAGGTGTTGGCGCAAGAGTCCTGTTTGCGACTGTGATGTACCCTCGACATGGCTTCGTCCGTATTGGATATTCTCCCCGTCTTGTTCTCCGGCAAGGACGAAGCTCGGCCGGCGAGGAATGACCTCTGGGAATCCTGCGGCTCGCTGCCAGCTCCTAGCGAAAGATCGGAAGCTGTTGACGCCGCCAATGTCTGCTATCGCGGCGAGGTGGTTGGTGACTGAGGATCTGGGCAAGTTTAGCTATCATGGGTTATTATTCAAGGTGGTATTGGGCTGTCATACCGTCGTCGCGCCATGAATCCTCTGTCATGATCATGCTCGCTAGCATCGTCATCATCGTCTTCGACAGCTTGTTCCCGCGCAAGGACGCTCGACGTCACACTGCCTGTAGGCGAAGGTCTACCATCGTATTCGTCCCAGCTGGTTGGGTTCCGCGCTGGAGCCATTGGGTCTGTATGTGTATCGTCTCGACCTGTTTTCCTCGTGTCTTTTCGTCTGTCTTGTCTATTTTCCTTCGCCCAAGTCCCTCGCAAGAATTTTCTTCACACTCGTCCTTGTCTGCCGTTCGCTCGCACAGACAAAGCGCCGAGGTGGCAAAAGGTAAAGAGAAAAAAACCCAACGGGTTGGAGGGGGTGCGACGAGGGTAGCGATGCAACGGTGGACAGGGGATTACAGACAGCGTCAGACCGTGCAGTTAAAGACAATGAGATGTAGAAGAAAGGTCGAGAGAGAAGCAGAAGCTAAGCAGGACAGCATCGGCACAAGGACAAAACAGACGAGTCGGGTTTGGCGCCAACACACCTGACCTGACCTGACCCGACTCAGGTGAATGAAGCGAAGCAAGCAGGGACATGACGCTTATCGCAGCCAAGAATGGCTCGAGACGCCCGCGACCAGTGCACGCGATAGCCGTAGCCGTATGCCCCTAGGGACCAGAGGGGACCAGCAGGGATCGTCGATGCCGATACACACCTGCCCAAGCCAGTATGGTCATTGGTAACGCTCCATGTCGGCTGTACCGTCTGCAGCATCAGTACTGCAATCATGGAACCAAACCAGATCCCCACGCGAGGCACCAGACACCAGACGGGCGCTACGGTAACTGGCTAGTCTGTTCTCGTAGTGGTGGTAGAACCGTTGTTGTTGGTGTGTGCCGTCCTCTCAAACAACAGCCGTGGCTGGCAGTCCAACCGTCCGAGACAGCAGACACGAGCAAAGCATGAGTTTGACGTCTTTGTTACTCCGGAACGCAAGGCAAGACAAGACAGGCAGTGTCTATCGTGACATCTGAGCGACTCGCATGCCCCCCCTTGCTGCAGCTGTCTTGTCTTGTCCCGCCCCAATCTCCACTCCGTTCACCCTTGCCCGCAGATGGGCTCGCGAGACTCCATCGACCAGGCCTTGATTTTTTTTTCGCTATGGGGCGGTGGAGAAAAAAATGGTGTTCACGAGACCAAACTTGATTGAGAGGGGAGAGAATGTGTATGTGGTGCAACGAGAGATGATGCAGAGGGAGAGAATGATACAGGTCGAAGGCATTGCTTCTGTAGGTAGGTACCTACTTGGTGAGGTAAGCTGTTCCTGATCTCACCTCTTCTGCTAGCACTTTATTACCTTACCCACGAACCATTCCCGTTACTTAATGCCACGATATAATTAGGTAGACAGCTTGACTAAACTCTCGGTCTATTGTTATCATGTGTTATCATCCAATCTCACATCTTGAAACTAGCAGAGTAACTATTCTCCGCTCAAACCCGCCCGTTGACCTGCATGGTGGACATGGTGCGGTGCACATCACCCCTTCCTTATCTTATCGCTCCACCAAGGAAAAGTCCACTGCACGTCACATCTTCAACACCAAACCTATCAACCTCAAGCTCGTCGCGTCCTGGCCATCATATCCACTCAATTGATCTGGACCTTTGCATCTATCTAAGATGACACATCCATCATCATGACAAGTCCACATCCAAGCGCCGCCCTTCTCTCCACCGCAAACGAGTCCCTCGCGCCAGTTCTACCCATCCTCAACGCCTTTGCCCACCGCCATAGGAATCAGCACCATTCCTCCCACTGGTGGTCTTCCTTTTCTCTCGTTCGCCGCGCTGCGCGCAACCTCTCCACCGACCTCACATCTCGCCCTCGACCGATCAAGAGCAAGAACAAGCCTGGAAATGTCGAGGGCGACAATCATCCAGCTCTGGCGCGCGCAAAGTGGATGATTCGCCATGTAGTCCCCCGCACATACATGTAAGTCCATTATGTCCTGCCCGCTAGCCCAGCTTTACACGATGCGCCTGGTCGCAGTAATGCTATTATATGAATCATATGTAACTAACTATGCTTTCCTTCAACAGCGCCTTCTCCCAGCTCGCCGCCGACAATCAACATGCCCCCCTCGGCCTACTCCTCCTCTCTATTCTCGCTCGCATCAACCGTATCCTCTCCGACCTTGTGCCCGCCGATCAAAACACAATACCTACAGCTTCAGCCCCAACGAAGCCAACTACTACCGGCCCAATCCTCTCCTCTAATTACCAAACTTCAACGCCTGCCGAGACGGATAGCCCAGATATAGACATGGGCGTTACCATTTCGCGCAACGAAGTGCTACCCATTCGAAAGACGACTACGTCACAACCGGAAACCAAGCCAGATGCCCACCTGACAGACCCTCCTCCAAAGGAGCGCAAGCTCAAGAGTCTAACAAAAGACACCAAGAAGACCTCGTCAAAAGATCCAGCCAAGGACAAACCCAAGAAAAAGAAGAAAAAGGGCGGCGACGCACTCTCAAGTCTCTTCGGCTCGCTATGATCTCTTGCTTCATTCAAATACAACTTCAGTCACATACCCCACCATTCATATCACGGTCACATTTCACGGTCACATCTCACAAAATACATCTGACATGCGCTACGCCTTCAGAGTAGAAAAAAAATATCATTCATTATAAACACAAGACGCACAAGTAGAAAAGCATCGAACCGGCAAATATCCATACAAGGCCTCCACTCCCTCCCTTCTTTCTTTCTTTCGTTCCGCCCAGTGCAAAGAGAGGTGTGATTGATCCTCATTTCCTCCAGTCCTATTGCGCCTCTTTCGCAAGATCCTCCCTCGCGCCGTTGGGCTGAACGTGCGCATCGTCTTTGCCGTGTCCAAGTCCCAAGAAACAAGAATAGTCGTCGCCCACTCCCGTCACAAGCTCCCCTTGGCCGCTTCCCATCAATAAAGGCTCCCGAAAACATCTTCCCAGTACATCTGCTCCCTAACTTGCATTTCTTTTTTCGTAGTCTTCCTGTATCGCTTTTCGTAACCATGATGATATTGCCTCCCACTCGGCATCTACGCAAAGAGCCGCTCAGTGGGTGGTTGGTTAAGCGTACGGACGATACGACCAAATGCGAGCCTTCATGTCGCCAGATCCTGTGGCAAAGTAGCCACCCTGGGGGCTCGGCGCAACCGAGATGACAGAGTTCTTGTGGCCTTGCAGCATGAGTTGCGTTGTGCCTGTCCGGGGATCCCAGAACTGCACGCCGCGATCCTTGGATCCGGACAGCACCCAGTTCGAGTCAGGGGTGAGCGCAACCGAGAGAACAAAGTCACGGTGGCCCTCAAACGTCTTGACGCACTTGCCGCCCTTAGGGCCAGGCTGATTTCCTTGACGAGGGGTGCTGAGCTCCCACATCTTGATAGTACGGTCAAGACTGCCAGAGACGAGGTCCTTGCCGTTGGGCGAGAAAGCGACCGAGTACACACTGTCCTTGTGGCCGTCAGGTCCTTCGAGACGCTCAACGAGGAAGCCCGAGTGGATGTCCCAGACACGCACGCTCTTATCGAGGGAGCCTGCGGCAACAAACTGGGTGTCAGGAGAGATGGCGACAGTAGTGACGCCGTCCTCTATCGTGAGAGTGAGAGTGTTGCTGCCTTGCTCAATATCCCACAGGCGAACAGTCCTATCGCCACTACCCGAGGCAATTGTTCGTCCGTCGCGAGCAAAGTCTAGCGAGTAAATATCCTGCTCGTGGCCAGAGAAGTGGTTGCGAATCGTTCGGGTTTGGATGTCCCAGACCTTTGTAGCAAGTTAGTGTTTGCTCTAGGAGAACGGAGGCGAGTATTAATAGAGTACTTACGCGAATAAGCTTGTCTTCCGCGCCAGTAGCGAGGTAACGACCGTCAGGACTAAAGCAAACGCTTCGAATGTAGAGATCGGCGCTCATATCGGAAGCATTGTGGTCCTCAAGAACACAAACCTTCTCACCAGTCTGTACGTCGAAGATCTGAGCAGATCGGTTGCAGCCAGTTGCAACATACTTTCCATCGTGGCTGAACCTCACACAGCAGACCACACTCTCATGGTTAAGAGAGTGGACGAGATCGACATCGAGAACGCGCTGCACTTGAGGGTTGAAGATGGCATACCAGTCCTGGCCCGTCTTCTTGTTGTGGGGAGCCACAGCATCAACTTCGAGATCGCCCAGGGCGTTTCCCACAGGAGGAGCGCGAGGGCCGCCCATACGAGCGTGGTCGGGAGTCGGGTGGCTGACCTGAGGCGACGCTGCGTTTCCGGGATACGGGACTGGAGTGTTAATCTGAGGAGTCGCGGGTCCAACGGCATTAGGAGGTCGGCCGATGCCTCGTCGGCCGGGGCCAGGAGAGGCAGTACTCTGAGGAGGCTGAGGAGCCATACCGTTGGAGACTGGGCCTGGAGGGTAGCTCTGAGAATAAGGAGCCTGCTGGGCATTGGGATGAGGGGGAGGGACAGGAAGGCCAGGAGGACCCTGACCCATCTGGTGTTGAGGTCCCATCTGCTGCTCCTGAGGAGGGGCATGGCCCTGCTGCGATGGTGGCTGCTGTTGTCCGCCCTGTGGCTGCTGCTGCTGTCCTTGCTGCTGACCCTGCTGAGGAGGTGCAAGACCAGCTTGGCTACCACCAGCCATTATGCCACTGAAGAGGCCATTGCCGGGAGCGATAGATGGAGGCTGCTGGGAGGGTGCTGCGTGCTGCGGAGGTCCGGGGAGGCCGGGCTGAGGGGCACCTTTTCTGGCCGCCTCGAGCTGGTGTCGGAGCATGCTAATCTCCTCCTCATACCTAGAGATCGAGAGGTTAATGCTTTGTCAAGATTTTCAGCTCGCGCAATGCAACTCACTTTTGCTTGAGGGTCATGTGAGTCTGCTCCATCTGGTAAACCTTCTCTCGCACGAGCTGCATCTCGCTGACTTGCGCTGCGACTGTTTAAACGAGTCAGCGACGTCCAAAGAAAAATGCGCTACCACTATGACACAGCTAGACAATTAGACATACTCTGGTGCTCAAAGCCCTCGGTCTGGCGCGACTGGTTTTCAAACTCCTGCCTGATCTCGTTGAGCAAGTCATTGAGACGATTCGAGCTTCCTGGGGGGGCTGCCCCCATTCCCCGATGCTGGTACATCGACATTGCGCAAGGCGGGTCTCAGCGACGAGTTCGGTAACGACGCTTGCCGCGAGGCCGAGATGGACCAAAAACGCGATGAGAGATCGGGACGGACGAGAAGCGGATCGTAATCTATGTGTTTTCGCGTGCGGCGCGAATTATCGGGTTTTGGCGCGCGCCGTTGGACGTAGAGGACAGCGCGAGGCTGGGTGCCAAGGTGGTTTTGATGACCACGACAACCAACGACGCGAACGCGAACGCGGGACGTTGACGAGAAAGGCGTCGGTAAGAAAACTTGACTCGACAGGCCCGAGGTGGACAAGGGCCAGTGAGTATCGTAGTGAGTATGCGACCGGAGATGGAGAGGGGATCCCGAGCCCAGAGTCGGATGGTTGGGATGGGTGGGTTAGGCGCGATGATGTTGTTGGAAGGTGGAAGGGGGAGGAAAAGTGCTCTTCAAGAAAAAAAAGGCAGCACCCGATGGAGGTGCTGGAGGTGTGCTAAGGCCAAGCAGCGTGGTACAGCGCTGTGCTAACAGGCTCGTGCACGGAAGGTGCAGGGGAGGTGTGGGTGCCGCAGTTAAAAGTGGGGCAGCTGGAACTACGCCGAACGGAGACCAGGAAGAGCAAGCCTCGCCTTTGCCAAGGTGAGAGGGTGAGCGCCTCCAGTTGAAGATCCCTGTAAGCCTCTATAAATCGTGCAGGAAAGACTGTTGAAAGGAACGAGGCCTATTGGGACATGCTGCATGTGTGTTGGATGCTAGATGAGAGAAGCCACGAGCTCTCGAAATGTGGACGGGAGCCGCTGAGGGGGTGGGCTACCTAGGGGCAGCGATATGGGGAGAGGTTAGGTTGCCGGGCGGTCGCAGGGAACATGCAGCAAGGCTAGGTAGCGGTACTTTAAGCGGCGACTGCAGGTGGGGCGGCTGTACGGGGCCGAATCGGGGGACAGACAGGGGCAGGAAGCTCTCACTCTCCGTCATGTGCCTCATCACGTTTCAGCGACCTTGGGACGAATTCGAGTGCCCTGTCAGCCTGTTGTGTGCATCCCTCTACGGAGTAGTGCCCCAGGGCTACCGCATCCCTGCGATCCTGGCGATATCTTGGTGACCCGGAGTGGGGTCCCCTTTGCGGATGTGGGTCAGGGCCGGGGATGAGTGGGGACAGGGCACGGTCGGTGGGGTCGAGGTACATGCCCACGGTGCAGGGTACTTGCAGCCAACGTACCTGCCGTCCCGACGGAAGCGCACACACCCTCCAGCTTGACCTGGCGCCGGGCACATGCAGTGGTGGATCCTGGGAGGAAGGAACGGGGCTTGCTGCGGGTCAGCCGCTGACTTTCGAAATCGACTCCATGTGGCTGAGGAGATGACCCTTGTCCTCCCAGACCTGGCTCTGGCTTCTCTCTGGTGGTTCGCCCAGAATGATTGCGGTCTTCTAAAGAGCCTCCTTCGCCTAATAACTGGGGACATTTTCTCAACTCACGCCTCCCTTCCTTAGCATGTACTCCCTCCGCCTGGGATGCAACACCGCGACAGATCCTGGGGTGCCCAGCGCCCAGGTACTGATCGAGGCGGGAAGAGTCGCCACTATCATCAGCCACTGAGCTCTCACAGATGCCCCCGGCCGAGATGAGGAAACGAAGTGTGAGCGTGAGGGGTGGTTTCAGTGTCATCGGAGCGCTGCCCGAAGCTCCATCCCCGATGCATCCTTCAGACGAAGCACCCTTGCGGCAGAAGATGTTACAATTTCACTCGAGGACCTGGTACAGATAAATACCCTCGCATCGCCATGTCCATCGCTGTGATATAAGCCGGGACCTGTATACTACGTTTCCTTTGAAGCTCACGATCTACAGGTGCGCCATTCACAACACCAATGTCGCGACATGGCACGATGGAAAACATCGTTGTTGGGCCAAGTCCCCATGTGTCCGTCTACGCTAGTGGCCATGGGGTTTGACAAGCTAGCTGCAGCATCCCCTGCTCAGTGATGGCATCCATTCATGCTGTGAAACATACCCTATAGAGTCATGGGAGATTCCCTCGACAACGTTCTCTCTGGTGACACCCTCGCAGCGTGTCGTCAACATCATGCAGGCTTACTTGTGCGGGACTGCATGCTTCTGCATTGCAGCTAAGCACCATTACGATGGTTGAAAATGTCAAGTACAGGACACGCATATTGGGGGCCCCAACCAACACAATCCCCAGGGTGCGGCCAAGAATTACCAAGTGTCAACATCCCCAACCCACCCGTTCCTCACCGGCCGACAAAGAGACCCGCGTGGGATAGAAAATGAGGGTGTGTTCCTCAGTAGTGGCCTACACCAGTGGCCACGCCTACCCTTGCGAATTGCTTGCATGTCAAAGAGCCGCGCCGCCACCAAGACACATGTATCCTGACGGCAAGGTGTGATAGGGTGGCTATATGTTCTCTGGCAACTTGGTGTAACGCCTGTGCGCCGGCTGACGAGAGGTGACTGGTGCCACACTTCCAGTGGTGATGAGGAGGACAAAGTTGGATTATCTGGCGCGCCGTCGAGGAACAGAATTATACAGCATAGCTGGGCGGCGTCTAGGCCGATGAGTGCAGACGCCACAGTTATGGAACTATCAAGGTTATTTTTGTCGTGTTGGAATTTGGAGGTGCAGGAACACATATAAGTGATTCAAGAAACATGGGGATCACTCACATCGAACACGACTCAAAGAGACTACTCAAAGCGGAAAACGAAGGAACCTGCTGAGTCAGTCTAAAGTCAATTCGGGGAAATGTGGCCAAGGAGAATATTAAGTATTTTTCCGTTTGATAATCCGGGGGTTCAACCTCCCAGTCCGACTGGACGGGATAGTGTATAGATAGATAAGCCAAGCAACGCCGGTCGAGGCCGGTCTGGCCGGGCCAGGCTTCCTAAGACCGCCGGACTCGGTGTGAAGCTGAAACGGAGGTGAGAAGGCGTACCGGTCACGGTGAAGAGTCACGAATCTGCAGGGTTCAGCGGGCAACAAAGTGTTAATTGAAACGGCGCCGAATAGGTACTATCAGCGAAATGCTTAACATCCGGTAGACAAGGCGTCAACGGTGTATTCACAGTCGACTCCCGGAACGACAGAGAACCGGCACATCAGTGAGTACGAGCATATATTCAGAGTTCTTACGGCCGGATGACTCTGATTCGTCACAAGTCTACGCCGGGCTCAAAGATGCCGTGATTGTCCCCGGGCTCGACAGTCTGCAGACCGACCGGCATTTTCGCCCGTCAAGAGCCGACCGGGCGGGCACACCACAATCCCGCCCGTGGGTTAGGGGTCTTTGAGAGCTTCCCGTCTCAGGCTGGTACGTACCCGACGTATTCGTTTCCGTATCACCACCCTCACAATTATTTATGCCCTCTTTTTTTACACGGGTTGACCGGTAGATTCCTAGCGAGCTTCCAATGGAAGAGCATAATTATTTGCCTTTTTTCACATGCCGTGCCGGTTTTGTTGTGCCTGGATGGACAGGGGAATAGGAGTTTGTTGGAGGTTAATCCCGGGTTCCACAGCTGCCCACCACTTGTTGAATGTCGTCAGTGTAAACAATTCATTTTTGAGGCTTTCGATACTCTGTGGTGTTTGTTAGTGATTCATGGTCTTACTAAGCTGCTTTTATGTATCAATTCACCTGAATTGAGTACTTTGCGGCACTGAAACATTACCGTATTCAATGCCAATTGATCAACAGAGCACTATTCACTGATCAACCATCTGAACAACGTCTATTCCATGCCTGCTGCGGCACAGAAAGCCCATTCAATGATTGCATTTAGAAGTCGTTCGATCTCTCGTTCTCGGGATGCTGGGGATATCCCCGTCGCTGATTGGCAGACGAATGCTCGGGCCCGTGCCAGCCGAAACAGGCCACCACGCGCAACAGCTTCCCATGCTCCCTGAACCCTTGGAAAAATGTTCCATTTCCCACTGTTGGAATCCACTGATGAGCGCCTAGCCGCCCTTGGTCCTCTTTCTTCCTGGAACGAGGTCCTGTCAGGACGGGCTACTTCGGAGCCGTTGGTCTTCCATCATGCGATTCTGCTCCAAAGACGACCGTTGCTTGCTCCGGCACTTGGCGCATCTCATCTCATCCCCCCCCCTTCGCGTTGCTCACAGACCAACGAGGAATTCGCCAATAGGAATGATTGAGTTCCTGTATTCGTATTTACGACTTGATCAAAATTTTAAAAATTGCTTCACTTTGGTTTTGATGTTGCTCTTTGTTGGAGGTAAACAAGGTGTCATCAATCGCAACGAGAACAACCTCATCATGAGATTCAACTCTAGAACCTCCCCCTTTTAAACGATCCAATTGGCTCAACCGAGCTCTACAGGACCCTTTCCCAATTCCAACCTCCCCCCCACACACCTCATCCAATGCAAGCACCCCTGACCAGAAACGTCCATCCGCCCCGCGCCGCGAGCCGCCGAAAGGGACCCCAGTATCGGACAATGCCAATTGCACTGATGGACTTTGTAGATAAAAGAAGGCGAGGTCCCTCCCTTCCTGAGCTGGTTAATCTTTAGTTGTCGTCGGGGACTCGGGTTGTTTTTGGTGCCCGCTCTGTTTCACTGTTTCTCTTGCTTCGAGGGTAATAGCAACCTCAATCTCAGTTATTGACTTACACCCGCTCGTCAACGCGACCTCCCTCCTTATCAACCGCCATCACATCATCTACCTAGCTTGGCAACTCGCTTCCCCAACCGCCCATCATGGACGTCGTCCTCGAGGTTGTCGACACCTTCATCGCCGACTACGGCTATGCCTACTTCCATCCGAGGCAGCCGACTCCCTACGACTTCCCTGCATCCTCCAATTCGACCGAATCGACCGCCCATGCCGCCTTTTCTACTTGGACTTATAAGCCCGCCACAAAGTTCCTGACGCTTGAGCCTCCTCAAGCTGCGTACATGAGCGCATGGGATCGCGATAACCCTCTCCGTCAAGCTCTTACTCTATACCTCATCACATGGTAAGTGCTCATGACAGCCAACTACTCGATACTCAACTGACACTCAACAGGATCTTTGGACTGGCCGTCTACTTCATCGTTGCCACCCTCTCATACATCTTCATCTTTGACAAGCGCACCTTCAACCACCCCCGCTTCATCAAGAACCAGATCCGCCTTGAGATGATCCAGGCCAACAAGGCCATGCCCGTCATGGCCATCATCACGGCACCCCTGTTCCTCCTCGAGGTCCGCGGCTACGGCAAGCTCTACGATACCACTGAGGATGGTCCCGGCTTCTGGTACGACATCTTCCAGTTCCCGCTCTTCCTCCTCTTCACCGACTTCTGCATCTACTGGGCCCATCGATGGCTTCACCACCCCTGGGTCTACAAGCACCTGCACAAGGCTCATCACAAGTGGATCATGCCCACGCCCTTCGCCAGCCACGCCTTCCACCCTCTCGATGGCTTCACCCAGTCGTTGCCCTACCACATCTTCCCCTTCATCTTCCCCCTTCAAAAGCTGGCCTACGTCGCCCTCTTCGTCTTTGTCAACCTCTGGTCTGTCATGATCCACGACGGCGAGTACCTCACCAACAATCCCATCGTCAACGGTGCCGCCTGCCACTCGCTGCACCACTCACGCTTCGAGGTCAACTACGGCCAGTTCTTCACTGCCTTTGACCGTCTCGGTGGTACCTACCGCATGCCTGAGCAGTGGATGTTTGAGCGTGACATGAAGATGTCCGAGAAGAAGTGGAGAAGCGAAGTTGAAAAGGTGGACGAGCTCATTGAGGAGATTGAGGGTGATGACAACCGTACCTACGGCCCGCCCGACAACAAGAAGACGCAATAAATGACCTGGCCCTGGTCATTTGCTCAACCCCCCTGGCAGCCCCAGATCTGCTTACGGATAAGCTGGATCTGAGATCCTGGCGAATCCACGGCACTTCGAGATAACCGGGATATTCATGTCTCTGGAAGAAGCTCACTTGAAGCACCTATAAGCGTGCAGCCTTGATGGCAAACCAAAGCACCAGGTCACGCTGGTGAACCAACCCCCCTGTACATAGTTTCTGACCTGTATATATTGGTCCACACTCGTTCTTCAAGGCGTTGGGCGGATGGTACGATTCTTGACGACTGATTGATTTGCATATTTGATACTCGGAGACTAGAAAACCAAAAAGAGAAAAAAGTCCAAGATCTGATTGGGAAAAAGGTCTGCTCCGACCTGGTGTTATAATAATAATTCCTCTTAAACTCCTCGCCTCGCAGACTTTCAAGTGACTGCTGGGCCTCTGGTAGAGAACCGCTGATCCCTCTTCCCGAAACCAATAAAATCCCAAGTGATAAAACATAAAGAAATTGACAAGTATAGGAAAACTGCATCCGGTGTGCCAACGTAGAGGTGAGGCCATGTTCATCTCTGAACAAGGCGCATTTCGTCGTAATAGTGGTAGAGTCGAGCAACGTGTTGTATTCGAGTGGTGGTCGAGTTCAGCCGCCGCCGTTTTTGTAATAAAGAAACCAAAGTGCGTGGTAATAGGCCTTTGATAGTTATCCGTCGCTTATGAAAAGCTCACAAACTTGGGATCCCTCGGTCGTCCGTCGGCACCAATACCGTTGGCCTTGAATCGGTTCTCCATGTACACCTTCCTCGCCTGGTCAAAGTTCATCCTCCTCTTCTTCATGATGGCCAGGACCTCAGCCTTGGCCGCATCGTCGAGTCCTGCGCGCGAGTCGCCCGCCTCAACGTTGCCCGACAGGTCAAAGTTGCTACTCGACAGACCGGCCTCGATATCGTCGGCGAAGCTGTTGGGAAGTTGTGAGTAGAGGTAGTTGGCGCCAGGGAGTCGCGGTCGTATTTGCTGGAGGTGGGGAAGCCAGCGGGCGCGAGTGAAGAAGAGGACGGTTCCCAGGATCAGGGAGAAGACGGAGATTGAGTAGAGTAGGTACGACATGGTGGCGGTTTGTGTATTTATTTGATATATTCGTTATGATAAAATCGGGTATTGATCGAATTAATTAAAGTTATAGAAGAGCAAGTAGCGTAGAGTAATGGACTGATTGAGTTGAAACGAGAGGAATCGCGGAGTCGCAGACGAAAGTTGGATGTGAGACAAGGGAGATCTATCAAAGTTGCATGATAGACCTTAGTGCCCTCTTCAGGAGCGTCGAGGTCGCAAAGTGCCAAAAAGGGCGTCGCGTCGTTGATCGTTGTCGTTTCTCTTTCGCCCTCCGTTGGATCCGAAAGGTTGAGCAAAGGAGGGAGATGAAGTTCTTTGTTCTCGGAAGACGGGACGCTGACGTGCCCCGTGGCTCCCTCCCTCCCGTCCCCAATCAATCACCCGAGCCACGCGGCGCACCCCCATTGCGGCCGATTGAATGACTGACCTTTTGCACAGCCACAGACAACCCACTTTGCCCGCGTTGCATTCAATTAACACCGATAAGCACGTCACGGGTGATAGCCACCTTGGAGGGTCGACGCTAAACCCACCTCGTTTCGTTAAGCGAGCCCAGCCCACGAAGTTTGGAATTTTGAAGCCCTGGATACCATTTCGAGATCAACCTCAATCGTCGAAAGCCTCACCCTCCCCGGCCAATCTTCACGACAGAACCACAGTCAAAATGCCTTCCGCTCAGCTTCCCAACATTTCCTCGGACCTGGTCTGGGAGATCGTCCGTGAGTCTCGTCCCCTTGCTGAATGGCATATTTCGACGCCGTCAAAGTTGGAAAATTGGTGGAATTGGGTTTACTGAAACAATTTCTTTGCGATTGCGCAGGCAACAACAACTCCTTCTCTGCTAAGAGCAAGAAGAATGGCGGTGTCCAGTTCTCCCGGGACCCCCTTAACCTGACCAACATCAGCTCCCGAAAGGTATGACAATCTTTGAAAGTTTGGAGGGGTTATCAAATGTTGAATCATGTGGGCTAACTCTGTGACAGCACGCTGGTTTCGTCAACGACAAGGTACGACTACGATGAGCACACGTCGACGCACGAACGAGGGGAAGCTAAACAAATGGAATTTACAGGCCGTTGGTATCTCCGTTGGTGAGAAGGGTGAGGTTGTCGTCACCACCAAGAAGGCTCAGCCCAACAAGCCCGCCCAGAACACCACCCAGACCTCTTACAGCGCCGTCAAGTCCAACCGCAAGTAAGTTTTGGACATTGCGACGGAGAATCCCCCCAAGGACTGCGCTGACTGTTTCCAAAGGACCTACCAGGCTGTTGCCAACCAGGTCGCCAAGAACAGCTACCGCCCTGACCTCCGCGCCGCTGCCGTCGAGCGTGCTTCCGCCGTCAAGCGATCCAACAAGCCCGTCAAGCCCGAGCCCGAGCAGAAGCTCCGCGGCAACAAGGCCAAGAAGGCTGCCGCCGCTGCTGAGGAGAACTAGAAGATCACTCAGCAATTGGTGGTAAAGAAGGACCTCTCCTCCCAAGCAGCAGAGCCTCAATACAACCTCTGATGCGCAGGTGGAGCGAGGAAAGGCGAGGATGAATAAGACTTGGGAAATGGAGCCGGGGAGGCAAGCTGCATAGCTCTAATCCTGATGAGTAAAAAAAAAGGGATTATCAGGGAGGGCAAAAGAGCATCAACCGAGGTCTCTGGGTCATTCACGGCTGGAGTTGGCATTTGTACTCAAGATGAATGAATATCCGGCCAGCAACAATGCTGGCAACCCCAAAGTCAAGTCCCCGTTGCAAGTGCGCATGTGTTTCTTAGTACGTGAGAATGCAACCAGCGACACACGTGTCAATTTGCAAGGTTAGGTTGTGCAAGGCGGCTGTCGCTTGTAACATGAGGTGAGCGGCTGAAAGATTGCCGTCGTGTAGTGTCGTCATAAATATCCGCACATCTCACAAGCGAGGCTCTTCGTGGAGATGCCTGCATGTTTCTCGCAGACGTCCATTCCCGAGTTGCCGCATGGACGTGTAAGTAAAACGGTGTTAGACATGTTCGGCTCATGAATCGGCGCCACGAGATACCGAGGATCATGCCAAGTCTGACCTGGAGCACTTTCGCCGAGGAAGAGAAGACGGCAACAAGACGTCACCTCCCGCTCCCGGATAAGCCCGGAGGGACGAGCCCATGAGGTTAAAAATATCGGAAGGTGATTCGAGAGCTCAAGCGTTCACATAGCCGCGAGCCGGAATCCGTATCGCAGATCAAGTTCCTGGTGTTGACCGAGGTGTAGCAGATGCGCGATATGGCAGGTAAATGTCCACTTGGAAATCCGAGGCCGAACCCTGTTTTCGTTTCGACGCACGCGTATGAAGCAAATCAAAGTCCGGATGCCGGAGACTATTGTCTCTGAGGTACTGGCAAGGGGCTGATCATGTACCAGTACCAGTAGCCGTCGTGGGATTTGGAGCAAGCCTGAGTCTCAGATGGTTCGGTTTATGAGCCCAAGGTGAGGCAACCAACCACCGAAGGTCAGACCCCGAACCCAGCCTGGATTACCATCTTGGGTAGTTCTGGAAGGGGGTGATGGGACAGCGGCCCTTTTTTATTCCTCTTCACCTTGCTGGCCTCCGGGGGAATGGCATTGTGTCCGAAAGGCTATCATTGCTGTAATGGATTAAGCCAGTCCCTGCAGCTGTAGTAGGACAGCCACGAATGAAAAAGGCAAGAAAAAGCGCGTGGGATTTACCCCATGACATTACAAACCCGTATCATCTCACACGGCCGCTTGTTACCTAGGGTGGTTGATGAGCGACTTTGTTTCAGCGCCCTTCTCCGCCCTACGGAGGCTCATCGGACATTCAAGCTAGCTTGCTTGGGTAGCTCCTGTGGTTGAGAAAAGACGGAGTTGGCTCGGGGTAAAGACCGACCATGGCTCGGGCTTGAAGCGGCCGGGGCCGGTCAGCCGTCCTGACGTGTGACTGAGCTGATGAGCGTGGGCGGGAACACTTTGGAAGAGGAACCCAGCAGGCAATGCAATTTTAAGATTGTCCAACGATGCATGGACGTAGCGCAATGCGATGCTTGTCGCGATCCATTGGATCCATGAATGGAGGGGAGGGGAGGGGAGCTTTGGCCCCTGGGCAGCCCTTCCCCGCGGGCCCGGGAGCCAGTTGGCGGGAGACTGATGCGATACTCAGGGCCTTGGATGAGAAGAAGAGGGGCGCGGGTCCGTAGAGCGTAGCCTCCTATTACTAGGTATCGTATGGTTGATGAGACGAAACGAGACAAGACAGAGACGGGCGACCGGGAATCATGGTCCATTGATAGGTGTATGGGTAGAGGCACCGTGCTTCCATGTCTCCATAGTCTTGGTTTGAGTGAGAGGAGAAGAGGCTTGGGCTTGCTACGCGCGCCCATGACTGCCCGCGCCGTCTTCTCTGCACGAGGCTTTTGCGCCAGCTGCCAGGTCACTCACAACTGGAGCGGATCGTCCAGGTGCGAGTGGGCAGGCGAGAGGGGCGCAAAAAAAAGACCCGCGCTTAGGTGTTCTTTGCGGCTGGATGGATGGATATGCAAAGTCCATGATGGTGGAGGATATCATGAACAATATGTCTCCTCCACCCTCACCCCGCCTTGATGAAAGGATTTTCTCGAAGGGCGGTCGGTGGATGTACATGTACCTTTAGGCTATAACGTACTCGACTGCCGAACTCGTCGATACCGCAAGTAACACAGCTGGCGAAAGAGAGGGAGGATGATGATGCCGCGTCCTTGGTTCGCCAGTTCGATGGGTCTGGGAGTGGGCGGTGGGTTTGGATAGTGGATGATGCCCCTCATTGATGGCCGCCTGTTGACTTCCATGACCGACCCTTGGCCCTTGGAGAGGAGAGCCCCTCCTGGCGGCGTGGCTTGCAATGGAACCCCCCACTAGAGCTACCTGCTCCTGTCTTGTTCCTTTCCCCGCCCGTGTCTGTCGCACATGTGTGCGCGCCAGAAGAAGGCGTGCGTGCGTGTGTGAGGTGATGATGGTCTCGGACATGTAAAAGCCCATGGCTGCAAGGTCCCCGGCCAGATCGGATGAGGCAAGATTACCTAGAGAGCGGAGGTATTGGAACATGGCAGAGGCCTAAAGGGTACATAGCCCAAGTTATGAAAGCAGGAGCAAGAGCTGGGCCTCGCCCGCCTCGCCGTACTTGCCGCATGCTTGCTCCCCCGGTCATCGCTTCATGCCGCCGTCCGTCGCATTCACGAGCATCCATCCCGTCCAATCCATATCTGCTTTAGTACTTGATCTCCCTCCTCCCACCTCCATCTGAACCCAAAAAACTTTGTCCTCTTTTCCTCTTCATTCATCCATCTCTTCCACCTTCTCTCCCACAAGCCGTTGTCTCTTGTTGAGCTTCCTCTTGTTCTCTCTTCATAACCTATCACTTATACCCACTTCTTTCTTCACAGACTTAGTCAAGATGGTCAAGGCTGGTATGTTAAACCTGAGCTCTGTTTCTGCCCAAACCCCGCCTCTGTCTTGGTGTTTTTGCTCATACACACCTCAATCTGGCTCGAGAGAGCTCCTGTAACGGAATACTGACGTGTTTCTAGTGGTTGCTGGCGCCGCTGGTGGCATTGGCCAGGTATGTGCACTCACTCTCTAAACTACAATTCGTATACTGACTTCTTCCAGCCCCTTTCCCTCCTCCTCAAGACCTCTCCCCACGTCGACGAGCTTGCTCTCTACGATGTTGTCAACACCCCCGGAGTTGCCACCGATCTCTCCCACATCTCCTCTCGCGCCGTAGGTCGACCCCGGATTTCCCCAACAGGGGATATTTCCCTTCCTCCGAGTCGCACTAGCCCTGCTCACATCCTTTGCAGAAGACCACTGGCTACCTCCCTGCCAACGACGGCGCTAAGGCCGCCTTCAAGGACGCCGACATTATTGTCATCCCCGCTGGCATTCCCCGTAAGTGAGCCCCTTACCCCGGACGACCGCCGCGTCCCCCCTCCCCCGGCCGTCCGACCCCGGAGCCCCTCCCCCAGTTTTAGCTCCTGACTGACCACCTTCCCCGCATAGGCAAGCCTGGTATGACTCGCGACGATCTCTTCAACATCAATGCTGGCATTGTCAAGGGCCTCATCGAGGTCGCCGCCGAGGTCGCTCCCAAGGCCTTCATCCTCGTCATCTCCAACCCCGTCAACTCCACAGTCCCCATCTCGGCCGAGGTTCTCAAGGCCAAGAACGTCTTCAACCCCCAGCGCCTCTTCGGTGTCACCACCCTCGACATTGTCCGAGCCGAGACCTTTGTCGCTGATATCGTTGGCGAGGCCAACCCCCAGAGCCTGACCATCCCCGTCATTGGTGGTCACTCTGGTGAGACCATTGTTCCTCTCTTTAGCAAGGCCAAGCCTGCTGTCTCTATCCCCGACGACAAGTACGATGCTCTCGTGAACCGCGTCCAGTTTGGCGGTGACGAGGTTGTCAAGGCCAAGGATGGTGCTGGTTCTGCCACCTTGTCCATGGCTTACGCCGGTTTCCGGTATGTTGCTTCGATTGTCGTCTCTTTCATCAATGGCTGACCTGGACATAGATTCGCCGAGAAGGTCCTCCGTGCCGTCAAGGGCGAGACCGGCCTGATCGAGCCCAGCTACGTCTACCTTCCCGGTATCCCCGGAGGTGAGGCTATTGCCAAGCAGACTGGTGCTGACTTCTTCTCCGTTCCCATTGAGCTCGGCGTAAGTTGAAAATCTTGAGTGTCTTGAAATGTTGAATTGGCTAACTTTACATAGCCCAACGGTGCTGAGAAGGCCATCAACCCTCTGGAGGGCATCACCGAGAAGGAGCAGGGCCTTCTGGCCAAGTGCATTGAGGGTCTCAAGGGCAACATTACCAAGGGCATCAGCTTCGTCCACAACCCTCCCCAAAAGTGAATATCCCTATAAACATCTTTCCAATACCCAGTAAGAGGCTTCCAGAGAAGCCAAGGACACTCGAGTCGAGGTCCGCAACTATGGCGCTAGGGCATAGTAAATATGAATCATGACCACAATTGCTGATGAAATGGCTCTCTCTTACAGGCTGTGAAATGTCTCGGCGGCGTTGGTCGTGTCTGCTTCATGACCCCGGTCTCTCGGTCTCAGGGATTGCTGCAGGTATGGATGGAGTTTTGGTCAAGGCTTAGTCGAAGCCCTGTGCGGTGGTTGGCTCTTTTTATGCCCATGACAGCCGATGGTCGGGAATCTGGCGCGTTGTGGCTGGACTTGCATTAAGGGTATCATAATATTGTACCTAGGTAGACAGCTCTCCTAGGGCTTATTGGGAATAGTCTTGATTTGAAACACAGCTCCCGGTAACTCGTTGATCTCGGCCTGGACCGTGGTGTTGATACCCAGGGCTGCCAAGGCGCCTCGAACGATGCCGCAGGGGAACCATAAGAACTGAAGCATGCACGGTTAGGACCGAGGGAAGGTAGACGACGGAATCACGGAAGAGGGCGGGGGACGTACCGGCTGAGCGCGGACTATGGCTTGGCCGCCTGCTTCTGTGCTCATGCGGGAGAAGGGCCGGAAGACGTTATCTGTCAAGACGTAGACGCCCTAGATGAGTGCATGAGCATGATATCCCTCAGTACAGTGGCGTCGCAAATTCGTACCCTGTGATTTGTCTTGAGGTTGTCAATGTTCTTGCCAAACACCAGTGTCCATAGGTCTTTGCAGAGGAACTTGATAACGTCAAGGGTATCGTTGAACCGGGGCCGATCTCTTGAGAACCTATTGCAGCATAAGCCATCAGGCCACAACGTGCGCTGACCTGACACTCGTACCTCTCCACAAGCCCCTGGCCGACTCTGTAGCCCAGCATCTCCAGACGATGATGCACTGCATCTAGATCCTCCTCCTGGTCCTTCCTTGTGGCGGTGCCAGCGACTACGCCGGCAGCATTGGAGCTCACGGCATGGCTCGTCGATGCGACATCTGCGGGTGTGCTGCTCGGGTCTGAAAGGGCCGTGTCTCGCTCGTGAGTGACGCGGTATGCGAGCGGGACGAGCTCAATAAGGAGGAAGTCTAAGCAGGATGAGCTTAGGAAGTTGGCGGATGGATCGCTCGAGTTGAACGGAGGCATGACTGTCTCGAAAGACATGATAGGCGAGTCGGATCGGGTTGTTCTGTCGGTGCGCCTGGTAATACGGTGATCAGAGAAGAGTCGTGCTGTTGAGAAGTGGGAATTGGTGAGCGCTCTCTGTCTGCTGGCCCCAAGCTACATTCACAGTACGTACTGGCTCCAGCTCACCGAGCTGAGGGAGGTGTTCCAGCCAGGGGCACCCGTGCTTGCGCCGCCTGCACGTGCTGATAAGAAGTGGATGGGGTGTTATCAGAGTCTTGGCAAACGCGGGGCTTCAAGGTCGAGAGCGGGCGCGGGGCAGGACTCGGAGAGAGAAAAAAAAAAGTTTTGGTTGCAGCTACAAAAGACTCGCGATCCAAATTCTCTCCTTCTGGGGTTGGTTCCCATATCATTGGCGGACTAATTGTATTCTGCGAACTTTCAATTACTGGGGATCTGGTAAAAGGTACCTGTCCGGGATCATCTGAAAGGACAATCTTGGTCGAGATACCCAATTACCATTACCGACCAGCCGCCGACCATCGGAATCGCATTCGCATCTTTTCTTCTCACATACAACGATCGAAACATGGCGGACCTCCGAATTCTCCTCATCGGCAATGGTGGCCGTGAGCACGCCCTGGCATGGAAGCTCAGCCAGTCGTCTCGAGTCCAGCAGATCTTTGCTGTCCCCGGCAACGGAGGCACTGCCGGTTGCCCCAAGGTGACCAACGTCAACTCTGTCAAGGCTGAGGACTTTGCCGGCCTCGTCAAGTTCTCTCAGGAGAATGGAGTCAACCTGGTCGTCCCCGGCCCCGAGGCCCCTCTTGTCGATGGTGTTGAGGGATGGTTCCGAACTGCTGGTATCCCCTGCTTCGGTCCCTCCAAGGAGGCTGCGCGCCTCGAGGGCAGCAAGACCTACTCCAAGGACTTTATGAAGAAGTACAACGTCCCTACTGCCGCTTACGAGAACTTTTCCGACTACAACAAGGCCATTGCCTACCTCGACAGCATCAACCACGACGTCGTCATCAAGGCCACTGGTCTTGCTGCTGGCAAGGGCGTTATTATCCCCCAGACCAAGGATGAGGCCAAGGCCGCTTTGAAGCAGATCATGGTGGACAAGGAGTTTGGCGATGCTGGTGATGAGGTTGTTATCGAGGAGCTTCTCATCGGTGATGAGCTCAGTGTCCTCACTTTCTGCGACGGCTATTCCATCCGATCTCTGCCCCTTGCTCAGGACCACAAGCGCATCTTTGACGGCGACCAAGGCCCCAACACTGGTGGCATGGGCTGCTACGCTCCCACCAACATTGCTACTAAGGAACTCACTGAGCAGATCGACCGTGAGATTCTCGAGCCCACCATCTCGGGCATGCGACGCGAGCAGCAGCCCTTCCGCGGTGTCCTCTTTACTGGTCTCATGATCACCAGCAACGGACCCAAGGTTCTTGAGTACAATGTTCGCTTTGGCGACCCTGAGACTCAGACCGTTCTCCCTCTCCTTTCTGCCGACACCGACTTGGCCGAGATCATGCTTGCTTGCGCCAATGGCTACCTGGATAACTGCAAGTTGACTATCGATAACAAGTTCAGCGCCACTGTCGTCCTGGCATCTGGCGGTTACCCTGGCTCCTACGCCAAGGGTAAGGCCATGTCTGTCCAGACTCCTCCTACCGGTGCCACTATCTTCCATGCTGGTACCACCCTCGATGGCGACGTTCTTAAGACTTCTGGTGGTCGTGTCATCGCTATCAACGCTGTCGGTGACTCCCTCCGGGCTGCTGTTGATGCCGCCTACGCTGCTCTTGACGCCAAGGTCATCGAGTTCGAGGGTGCTTTCTACCGAAAGGACATTGCCCACCGGGCATTCCGCTCTACTGCTCAAGCCTCCATGACTTACGCCCAGGCTGGCGTTGACATCCAGGCCGGAAACGACTTTGTCGAGAAGATTAAGAAGGCTGTTGCCAGCACCAAGCGACCCGGTGCCGATGCTGAGATTGGCGGCTTCGGAGGCGAGGTTGACCTGTCCAAGTGTGGCTACCCTCAGGCTCCCATCATCGTTGGCGCTATTGACGGCGTCGGCACCAAGCTCATGATCGCCCAGGCCATGAAGAAGCACGACACCGTCGGTGTTGATCTGGTCGCCATGAACGTCAACGACCTTGTCGTTCAGGGTGCTACTCCTGTCATGTTCCTCGACTACTACGGCTGCAGCAAGCTGGACCTCCCTACCGCCGCTGCTTTCGTCGAAGGTGTTGCTGACGGCTGCCGTCAAGCTGGCTGTGCTCTGGTCGGTGGTGAGACTGCTGAGATGCCTGGCATGTACCAGAAGGACGATTACGATGCTGCTGGCTGCGCTGTCGGTACCGTCACCCCTGACACCAAGCTGCCCAAGAAGGACGCCATGGCCCAGGACGATGTCCTCCTCGGTCTCGGCTCCGCGGGTGTCCACTCCAACGGCTTCTCCCTTGCCCGCCGCATCGTCTCCCGCGCCGGCCTCAGCTACCACGACACTGCCCCCTGGGACCAGTCCACCACCGTCGGAGAGTCCCTCCTCACCCCTACCCGCATCTACGTCAAGTCCCTCCTCCCCGTTCTCCCCCACATCAAGGGTCTCGCCCACATCACCGGCGGCGGTCTCGTCGAGAACGTTCCCCGCATGCTCCCCGAGGGTCTCGCCGCCGAGATCGAGTTCGGCTCTTGGGAGATCAACCCCGTCTTCAAGTGGCTCCGCGAGGCCGGCAACGTTGCCCCCTTGGAGATGTGCCGCACCTTCAACTCTGGTGTAGGCATGGTCATTGCCGTCGACCCAGCCAAGGCCGATGCCGTCGCCCAAGCTCTGGTCGACGGAGGTGAAAAGGTCTACCGCATCGGTCGTCTTGCCCGCCGTGACCAGGGCGAGGCGTGCCTCATCCACAACGTTGACTCGTGGAGTGCCGAGACGGCGGTGCCTACCAAGCGCAAGGAGATGGAGTCATAATAGGAAAAGAAAAGAGAGAAGAAAAAAAAAGCATGGGATTTATGGAGTCAATTGATATAAAGGATGGGTTAACGATGGGAAATGATATGAAAAAGGGGGTTGTCTAGGACTAAGGACAGATAGAAGGCATGGCTGAAGTGGTATCTCGCCACGCCTACTCCTACATGAATGGCATATAAGTTTTGTGTTTCTGATGTCTGGTGCTTATTATTCAAAGTGTCCTATGTGTGTGGGAGTATGCGATATCTTTTCATGTTGGAGGTAGGCTTCTCCCTCCTAAATAGGAGTCAATACTATGGCATTTCACGATAACAAGACAAAAGGTGATCAAACCTCCTCAACCTCACATTGATCAAACAGATGAGACCCGTTTAAAGATTCACAACTAGACCGTTCAGGCTCGCTGTATCTGATCTGATGCAACAACCAAGGCTGTCCTCCATATTCATCATGTATGGGACGAGATCATGCTACCTCATCCCTCTTTCTCTATTCGCCGTTGCCATGCCCAAAACCTATTCCCATGATTCCCAATCCACCTCGCCAAGAATATGGAGTCGTCGTAGAATCGTGGCGGTTCCCATTTACTCCGTTACACCTCGCCTCGCGGAACCAAAAAAAAAAGAACATGATAACAGATGCATGCATGCCTGTTAAAGAAAAGCCACCTCATCCTTTGGCGACAGGGGAATCATTTTTCGTCTCCTCCAACTCCAGACCAGAACAGGCAAAAAAGGAAATATTATCAACCAACTCCCTTCGATGCCATGCAGCCTGGGAAGTGATTACCTATCCCAGACCACCTCAAGTTTCTCTGCCGCTGTAAATCTACGAAGTCTTGCGTCTTCGCGACCTGGACTTTTTCTGCCTTGGAGGCTGGGTGTCTTCCTACAGATACCCACTAGGTCCATTGGGAGGCAATGCCAAGTTATTCGCCAGGTTATTAGATCCATAGAAGCCATTCGTTGCCGTGTTTTGACGCTTAGGGGGTGGCTGAACAGCCGGTTCATCATCGTCATCCGAAAGCGTCAGGTCAATGATGGCGGCAATCGGACGCTTGCCACTGATGGAGGATGTTCCTCTAGGTCCAGAAGAGGACCCATCCCGGCCGGCTGTGACAGGCGTGCCGATACTCGGGGTAGTGGTCTTGGGAGTCTCTAGGCGGCGATGACCGATGGGGTTGACCTCTGAAATCAAGACATCGTCATCATCGTCGTAGTCATCGTGGTAAGATGAATCCCCATTGCTCAGACCCAGACTCTCGTCCGAGTTCTTGAGGTGCCATTCCCCATCAGGCTCGATGGTAACCGACTCCAGGCTTTTCGAGGTTCTTGTGAGGATGTCCTTGACGTACCTGTTAAATTGTTAGCAATCTTAACGTATAAATAGCATATGCTTCAGAACATACTCGTCAACTGCCAGTTGGTCAAAGGGCGCCGCTTTAGAGCAGATTGGACATTGCCACTGCGGGCCTTGCTCCTGGAGCTGCAGATACGATGTCGCGTCAAAGCATTGAATGTGCGAGCAGCTTAGCCCGCGACATGGGAGGCTCAATCGCATGTAAGACAGCGGACACTTCAGGGACAGGACTTGAGACGTTGCTACCACGTCAGGATCCTGTGCCTTTTCGTTGACTACAGAGTGTCAGAGGTGTTGCTCCTAGTGAATTCCAGCTTAATACTTACGCTCTTTTTTGACCATGTCGATTGGTATCCTCCTGCCGGTAGAGATACGTGTCACAAGCTCGTCTACGGTTGTGACCCGGCAGAGATTAAGCACGAGGTAGAATTTCTGCCGAGGGTTAGTTCTCACGTGTAACCAAACATGCGTCAAGATGAACAAGAAATCCTGACTTGGTGACCACTCACCTTATTCGTCAACGCATATGTGAATTCGACATTGTTAGTGTAGTGTGGTCGAAGACGCAGAGCCTTGGTGATGTCAACCGGTCTAGTAGAGCCAGGTTTATTCTTCAATCCGCGCAGGTTTGCCTTGATCTCGCCACCGTTGACCTTGAGTTCAGACTGATGAGGGAACGCAATATCCTGCATGCCCGTGGAGTCGCCAGCGCAAAAGACCATGACTCGGTACGAAGTATCGTCAACGCAGTTCTGGAGAGAGGGGTGGTCGTTGAGCTTGATGGGGATAGACACCGTGTTACGGTGCTGTGACATGGCTAGACAAGGGCGTTAGTCGCGCAAAGGTCTTGACCCATGAGATCATGGTCGCGGGGACATACCATCGCAAGCTCGCACTTCACCAATAGTCGCCTCGATCTTGTAAAACGGACTTGACTTGAAGCTCAGTGCCATTGTTTGCGACCCGCCGAAGCCGGCGGTAGACCGATGACCGTTGGATAGACCGGGCGCACTGCTAGAGAATGACACACTCTGCATAGAGTACGGCTGCGAGTGACCATGAGTGTGTGCATGCGAGATAGTGGCTCGGGCGGGCGAGGTTCCGGCGGGCGCATTCGCTATAGTGTTGTGCACGCTCTGTCGGATCTGTTGGAAGCGCACAGGATCGTTGGCGTCGACGGCTTCCTGGATGACTATGGGTACCAACATGGTCAGCTCGTTTTCTCAGATGCAAAAAGAATGTGTAGAGTAAAGGACAAAGAGGGCGAGTGGGAAGATATGCATGTTGAAGTGGGTGACAGTGACGGCCGGCTGGCCGCGTGAATGGGGATGGGATGACTTACGATTGGCGATGCGTTTCTGCAGTTCCGCCTTAATGCCAGTGCTCTTAACGCCGTTGACCTGGCAGACTGACGAGAGTTGTCGATTCAGAAGGCGATTCACCTGCCGCACAAGCGCGTTGGCCTCGTTCCGCGAGACCGCAGCGGCTTGTGTTGACAAGACGGGGTTCATGGCCGACCCCAGGCCTGAGGACGCCATAATCGATGCCGATGAAGATATGGATAAGACAGTGAGTGATTCAGGAAGGAGGCTCGAGGTTGTGGGAGGGAGGTGCAGCCATGGAGCCTTTAGGCGGGCGCGAGAAGGAGAAGGAGAATAGACGTTGTCGAGTGGTGGTCGCGCAGCCGCATCCAAGGCAAGTGCGCATGGAGGCCGATGCCGATGCAGCCTGTCGGGAAGGAAAGAGGCCCCTACTCTAACAGTAGCAGTAGCAGTGAGTGAAGAGTTGCAGTGGCAGCGGGTGGGCAGGTTGCGAGGAAGGAGAGAAAACTGCGCCACAGCGATGGAAATGGAAAGGGAAAAGCAAACACGAGAGTACGCTAAACGGTGAGAAGAGGAGTAGAACAAACGCCGCGGCGCTATTCTTTTCGTCTTTTCAGCGACGGCGATACCTTGTTCAGTCTATCTCCTCTACCACCGCGCGCGATCTCCAGACGGTCGTCGTTCTGTCTCGTTTGATGTCATGCTCGCCTAGGAATCCTCGGCGCGACCCTGTCTTGGAACGGTAGGCGGTGGAGACTGGCAGATACTGGGGGGCTAAGTTAATTCTAGGTTCGCGTCGAGTCCCTGAGTGCCTGGGTTGAAACTAAGCCACATCCGCCGCCACAGATCATAGTTTTTTTTTTTCTGTCTTATCGCCAATCTACGATAACGGACATCTTCACCTTCGTTCTCTCTCTTCACCTTGTTCAACAAGCAACTAATTCACGTCGACAACATGGCAAAGAGTTCACGATCAAGCACCCGAAAGGCCAACAACCGGCGCCTGGTGGCCAACGTGTTTGGCCCGGCCGAATCGGCGCGAGCTGAGCGTCTCTCCGCAAAGCTGCTTGAGCTGGCCCAGCAGCCAAAGCCCGAGTCCTCAGATGTCAAGATGAGTGGTTAGTGTTCAGGCTTTGGAAACTCGTGAGACATGACATTAACTCGCTTTTTAGTTGATGAGGACAACGAGGAGTCAAATGAAAAGGAGGACGCCGAGGAGGTGACAAGTGAGTATGGGCCCAGAATCTACTTTTGTAGGTGCTAACTTGTCCTTCAGCGATGGACGTCGACTCTGGTAAGCCTTCAAGCGGCCGTATTGAGAAGAAGCGAGGCGACAAGCGAAAGCAGAAAAAGTCCAAGATTGTCTTTGCCCCTTACGCAACCAGGTCAAAGGGAAAGAAGAAGAGAAGCTCCTAAGGGATCAACCGTTAATACTGCCACATGTTTTCTTTCATTCTCGTCGTTTAGCAGCAAATCTGAATCTGAATCTGTGATACCCGAAATCTCAGCCTCGTGTGGCGTAGCTCTCCAATAATTTCTTCTCAGCCAATCACGGCTCATCCCTAGCCCCCTACCTTTTTGGTTCATCTTGGTGAGGCTGAACTAGCATGGGCATATCTCACGCTCCAACACGACACGTTCACTTCTTCCTTTACATTTTTGACCATATTTCTGTCTACATGTCCATCTTTTTCATGTGTCCTTAGTCACTCCTTTTACTCTTAATTACGTCTCGTAATGGTGTCCTCAAGTAATGGCTCGCTATTGCGCAGCCTGCTGCTCGTTGCGGCCAATCTTCTAATCCCTGTCTCGATCCTCGTCTTCGCGATGGGCTTCTTCCCATACAAGCCCTTTCTGCCTGGACTGGCCGAGTTTGAGCCTCTAGACATTGGGTCGCCGCCCGATGCGCCCTTTAATCGTCTTATTTTCATGGTTGTTGATGCCTTGAGGAGGTAGGGATATGTCCCAAAAGCATCCCTCATGGGAACTGGGTTGACTCTATGCAGCGACTTTGTATACTCGGATGTGTCGGGTTTCCAATATGTTCAAAGGTATAACCAAACCTTTCTGCCAAATATCCTGTTACTTATGCGCTATTAGTCTTATTCGAGATGGCAGCGCAATGCCCTTTACGGCCAATGCCAGATCACCCACAGTTACCATGCCCAGGATCAAGTCCATGACCACTGGTTCTATCCCTTCCTTTGTTGATCTCATCTTGAACTTTGACGAGGCCGACACCTCGTCGACTCTTGCTTCTCAGGACACCTGGGTTGCTCAGATCAAGGCCAGGGAGATGGGCAAGGCCCTTATGTACGGCGATGACACCTGGCTGAAGCTATTTCCGAACACATTTGACCGCGAGGATGGAACCTCTAGCTTCTTTGTCGCGGTTTGTCACTCACTCACAACAATCATGGCAGTATGACTGACATTCCCATGCAAGGACTTTACTGAGGTGGACAACAATGTCACTAGGAACATTGCTGGTGAGCTGGAGAACAATGATTGGGGTCTCATGGTCCTCCATTACCTTGGCCTGGATCATATTGGCCACAAAGCAGGACCCAGGAGGTAATTATTCTTCACAAAATGATTCAATCTCTTATATTAACGCCGAAAAGCTCCAACATGGTTCCCAAGCAACGCGAGATGGACGGTATCGTCCAGACCCTTTTCGAGGCCATGCAGTCCAAGCCTCATCTGGACTCGACTCTCCTCGTGCTCTGCGGCGATCACGGTATGAACGACGCTGGAAACCACGGTGCTTCCTCGCCGGGCGAAACATCTCCCGCCTTGGTCTTCATGTCCCCCAAGCTCAAGACCATCTCCTCCAAGCTCTCCGCACCGGCTCAGCCCAAGGATGAGTTTAACTACTACTCTATGGTCGAGCAATCCGACATAGCGCCAACCATTGCCGCTCTCCTGGGCTTTCCCGTGTCCAAGAACAACCTCGGGGCCTTTATCCCTGACTTTCTTCCTTTCTGGCCCAAGACGAGTGACAAGATCCAGATCCTGGTTCGCAATGCTCGACAGATCCTCAACATTGTCACTGCTGCCTTTGGGGCTGAGCTCTTTGATTCAGAGAGCAGTTCTGACCCATGTGCTTTGGAAAAGACTGAGATCAATGAACTTGCTTGTCAATGGCGCAAGATCAACAAGGAGGCTCATGTTCTCGCTGCCGGCAATAAGGTGGACCAGGAGTGGCTCGACGCCATGTCAGAATGGCTTCGTCGTGCTCAGGAGTTGATGAGCAGCATGGCCTCCAACTACGAGATGCCCAAGCTGTACATTGGTCAAGCAATCGCTGCGGTTTCTGCTATTGCAAGCGGCTTGGTGGTCTTTAAGCTTGGAGCACATCGACAAGGACCTCTGCTCCCTTACGCTCTTCTCACGCTGTCGTATGGAGCCATGATGTTTGCGAGCAGCTACGTCGAGGAGGAACAACATTTCTGGTACTGGACTAGCTCCATCTGGCTGCTTCTTCTGGGGGTTCGACACATTCGAAGGTATGTTTGTGTAACATCGGACACACCCCTATCATGCTAACTGAGTAATAGACTCAACAGCTTGCAAGACATTGGCTGGCTATTCATCTCCCTCGCCGCCCTTCGAATAACCAGAGCCTGGAACCAAACAGGCCAAAAGTTCGCTGGAAGTCCTGACATCGTCAAGAGCTTCATCGTCACACACCCTCAGCTCCTCTGGTCTCTCCTCATCTTCTCGTACATGATCCTCTCGTTCCGCATGCTCGCCCGTCTCAAGAGCCTACCATCCATGACCAGCACCGCCCTCACCTCGGTCCTTCTGATGAGCGCCTTTAGCTTCAAGCTTGACTTTACCAGCGAGGACGCGCCAGAGCTTGTTGTTGGGTTCGCAAAGGGCCTTAATGATCTGTTTCAGGGGCAGTCTCTGCTCTGGAGGGCGAGAACTGTTTTCATCATCCTAGCTATCTTTTCGGCGTATGGAACATATCGCTCCTTCACTGGTGGTCGTAATGGTCAGCTGCAATCAGGTAACACCCCATTTCTATCCCCGACCTCATCCATGACACTCTAACAATATATCCAGCTCATCTATTCCACCATCTCCTCACCCTCCTAGGCATGACCCAGTCTCGCGCCACAAACATCCCCCTATTCCTCCTCTCCGACATCATCTTCCACTCCCTCCAGGCCGTCGACATGTCGGTCCCCGAGATCGCCACGACAACCATCCTCCTCCAATACGCCACCTTCTTCGCCTTTGGCGGCTCCAACGCCATCTCATCTGTCGACCTCTCGAGCGCCTACAACGGCATCAGCGGTTTCAACGTCGTCGCCGTTGGCGTCCTCACCTTCGTCAGCAACTGGGCCGGCCCCCTGTTTTGGTCCTCGGCCGCGAACCTCTTGCTGCTTCGCAAGTACCACGAGGGTCGTCGTGATGCCTTTGTGCAGTACATCTCCCTTCAGACCCTCTTCGTTGCCGTCAGCGCCGCGTTTGTCATGGTGGCTTGCACGGCGCTTAGAACACATCTCTTCATCTGGACTGTGTTCTCGCCCAAGTACCTTTACTGCATGGCTTGGAGTCTTGGACAGCACCTTTTGATCAACATTGCCTTTGGAGGCCAATTGTTTTGGCACGGCTCGCGCGGATAGACAGTAGGATATACACTCACATCTTGGTGGTAATCCAAGACTCAATCTATACATGTCATGAGAACATCGTCACATTGTTGACAATCAGTGCAATCAAAACACGCATAAATAGATGTATCAACCCTCATCGCCAAAACTCAGTGCTCTACCCATTCAAACCGTCCCGTAACCCACTCGTGACAATGCCAAATCATCCAAAGGTCCAGTCATTACTTCGTTACATCTTGAGTCTCAGACGTCCGTCATATCGACGTCGCCGTCTGACAAGAGCTCTTCCACTAATGACTCCCTCTCCTCCTTGGGCACAATGGTATCATCGCTCTCCTCGTCCTCCTCCTTGATACGTGGCTCCGAAACTACCGACTTCTCCTCCTCGGGTGTTTGTCGGTCCAGTGTCACTGATGTGCTACGGCTAGAGCGCCTATAAGCAGGCTGTTGCTGCTGATCCTCAAGGGCGTTGACAATCTTGCCCAAGCTGACGTGGATCTTGTAGAGGGCGTTGCGGCTGGTGGCATCAGACAGCAAACCATCCTCGACAGCGACGCTGACCTCGGTGTATGCCTCGCGCAGCTTCTCCTCGGTCGAACCAGGGGACACATGAAGCTTTCCAAGGAGCGTAGCGAGGAGCTTCTTCTCTTCTTCTATTAAGGAGTTAGTACTATTCGTTAATGTCTTGCAGCTTCTCAACTTACTGGCAATATTGCCTTGCAACTTCTCCAGAATATCCATGGCAAACTCCAGATGCACATCGCCATTCACAACCTTCTTCTCGGTATCCAACAAGTCTGTGGGGCTGTAACACTTTCTGGGATCCGTCCAGTCCACCAAACAAGCTCCGATGGTGGTCATGCTGACCATGTCCTCCTCGACATCCACATCATCATCTTCCAAGCCTTCGCGGACATTGAAAAGGGCATGGATGGCATCGAGTGCAATACTCCGCATGAGATCCTGGTTCTCAGCCCGTGAGAAGCAAAACACGGGGAGGAAGTAGTTCAGGGCCTGTCGAACTGTCTGATTTGATGCTGACGAGGGGTCAAAGTAAGCAACCACCAGAGACTTGAGCAGATCCTGGCAAGCCTCCTCATCGCTGACAACACGTCCCAGCAGAAGCTTCGAGACAGCAACAGTGGCAGCTGCTTGGACTTCTGGAGACTTGGCCCCGCCCTTGACAGCCTTGATGTAGACCTTGAGCAGACTGGGGGTAGACGATAGCAGATCTGCGCCGTGGACATTAAGGATATCAGTCAAGATGTGCAGCGCCGTAATCTGAAGAGCAGTGTGGCCCTTGCTGAAGAAGTGCATAAACAGAGTCAAGTTCTCCTCCGCAACCGAGCGGTCGAGAAGAGCGCAGAGACCGAGACAGACCAAGCCTCTCTCTCGAACAGGTGCTTCGTGGCTGCGGACGGCTGGGACAACCAGGTTGTTCAGCATCGACACTAGGTCTGTGTTGTCCTGAAGGTTGATGGACACATGCGTGAGCATGCATTGGACAATGTGAAGACACTTCATGTTGACAATGATCTCCTTGACCGCCTTGTCGTGCGCTTCCTCCTCGCTCATCTCAGGAGTGTGGCCTCGCCTGCTACTCTTATTAGTTGGCGTGCTTGGGCGGCTGCTGACCTCGGACCTGGCCGAGTGGAAGCTGTCCTCGGGCTCCTCAGCTGGCGGCTCATCGACGATGGTGTCGTGAACGTCCGCCACAGACTCGAGGACGATACTGATAAACTCTCGCTCTCCGGCAGCATCAGGGGCGCAGATCCCTTCCAGTGCCTCCACAGCGAGCTTGGTGACTTCGTCTGGCAACTCAGGAATTGAAATGGCTTGTCGAAGAAGGGTAAACATCTTCCGTCGACCAACTTCGTCAGAGTAATCAAGAGTCAGAGCGATTTGGAGCAGCTGCTCAACGATGAACTCCTGTTCCACCGTGTCTTCTTCTTCCTCATCCTCATCCTCATCGCCCTCAGCCACCCTCTTAACGGCTTCAACAAGGACGTGCAGATATCGCTCCAAGTAGAAGGCAAGCTTTGTCACCTCGGGAAGCTTCTCCTCCAGGAGGGCCAAGTACTTGCCATCACCTTCGTTACGGCAGAATTCGTTGTAGCTCCTCGCCATGAAAACAGACTCGGCAGAAAGAGTCTCCCAGAAGCTGTCGTCAAACTCAACCGACTCACGATAATCTGGCCGGCCCTCCCAGAAGCCCTTCATGGCCTCTAGAGCAACTCCATTCTCAACGCCCGTGTTGACAACGTCAATTCGCTCCAGGAGCTCCTGAAGACCTTCAAAGCTCGGAGGTGATGGCTCTGCAGGGGCACCATCCTCACGGGGTTGCACTCCTGCGCAATCCTCGATCCATCGCTCGCGGAAGAGTCTGCCCGCAGCTTTTCGGACATTTTCATCTCTATCTCGGACACCCCATCGGAGGAGCTTCTCTCGCATCTTAACTGAAAGATGTCGGAAATCGCCTAGTGCGGGCAAGAGTCGGGAATAAACAGCCCTTCGAGTTGCTGCATCTTGGTCTCGTGCTCGCTCAAGAAGCAAGGACAGAGTCTCAGGCAGAATAGGGAGGTTGACGAGGAGAGATCTTCGCACATCGGCATTTGGATCATTCTGAAGAACCTCGAGTAGCTTCTCAAGCAGGCCTGTATCACCATCCTCGCTATCATCAGAGTTGGTGCAACCCTCAAGCTGATTCCCTGCAAGTCGACCAAGACCCAACACCGCTTGAGAGCGGACCATGGCCTCCTTGTCGCGAATCCTCTTGAGCAGCCCATGACGCAGCTTTTGGAAGAGGTCATCGTCGATGGCATCGAGCGAGTTGATGATGTGCGACACGAGCTGAGTCGATCGGTATCGAACAACCTTGTCCTTGGCTGTCATCAGCGGAAGGATGGCTTCCAGGAGCTGAGAGATAAGCCGTGTGCTCGGAGTCTCGGGCATTACGCTCGCCTCATCCTCAACATCCCCCATAAGTTCGTTATCCTTCTCGCTTGCATGGCGCAGAAAGAGGCCGATAAATCGGATCGACCGTTCTCCAACGCTCTCGGACTTCTTGATGGGCATAATCTTGGTGACACATCTAATGAACTCGCGATTGAAGGCATCCTCGTCGAAGTCGTTAAATTGTGATGCATTCGGGTTTTCGGGTTCGTAGCAGCATGGCTCTTGAATCTTTCGCAGATTCACAACCAGCTTGCGGTGGGTTGCTGTGGTTCGCTGCGCATCGCGAAAGACTGCGCATATCTTGGTTCGAAGAGCGTTGTCTGGAGTATCGACAACCTCAGGCGCTGAAGATGCGACCGAGGATCTCGCAGCCGACGTTCGCGTCGACCGGGCTGAAGTTCGTGCGGGCATGATGTTAATGACTGTTAGCCCATTAATATGTAGCAGTAACGTGAAAAGACTGTATATAATTGTTAGAAGTTGTGTATTGGTTTCCCCTTGTCGCGGTGTGTTGTTGAACCACTCCGCGCGTAAACAGTCTTCCAGATGTGGTTTAGCGTCAGGCACTTCCCCGCCATCACGTGCGATAAGAGCAGGATGTCAAAAAAATATTCCTTATCGTCAACTACCATTATTTTTTCTTAGGTAGCGCTTGCGATCCTGTTGTTGTAAAGCGTCACATCTCGATCTCCTTCTTTGTCTTTTTGTATATCGGGCAGCAAAATGGGCAAATCGAAGAACGATCGGAAGCGTCCCCACGCCGAAGCTGATGATCTCGATCCTGCTTCTTTCGAAGACCGCGACAATGGCGCCGTGCAGTCAACCAAGAGAGCGCGAGTCGAGGAGCGACGCTCGCTCTTTGTTCGCTCGCTGCCTCCCAGTGCCACCAACGAGACCTTGACCGACTTCTTCTCCCAACATTACCCGGTCAAGCATGCCACTGTGGTTGTCGACCAAAAGACGAAGGAGTCTCGAGGCTACGGTTTCGTTACTTTCGCCGACGCCGACGATGCTACCGAGGCCAAGAAGGCACTCCACAACCAGGAGTGGGACGGTCGAAGACTCCGAATCGAGATTGCTGAGCCGCGACACCGAAATTCGGCAACCGGCGAGGTTTCTGCAAACAAGGCCCGCAAGGAGGAGCTCCAGAAGCCCCCTAAGCTGATTATTCGCAACCTGCCCTGGAGCATCAAGACTTCGGAACAGCTTAGCAACCTCTTCCGAAGTTTCGGCAAGATCAAGTTTGCCGATCTTCCACAATCCCAGGGCAAGCTCAAGGGTTTCGGATTCATCACCATCAGGGGAAAGAAGAATGCCGAAAAGGCTCTAGAGGCTATCAATGGCAAGGAAATTGACGGAAGAACCCTTGCTGTCGATTGGGCTGTTGACAAGGAAACCTGGGCGAAACAACAACCAGCAGAGGAGGAGAGTGACGACAAGGAGGACGAGGAGGAGAAGGATGAAGAGGATGACGAAGCTGAGAGCGCTGATGAGGACGATGATGGAGGTGCCAAGACCGAAAACCGAGATGATCAATTGAACGCCGACTTGGAAAACTTCTTCAAGAACCATATGGAGAATCTCGAGGAGGAAGATTCGGAAGAAGACGAAGACGAGGATGAGGAGGACGATTTGGAGGAAGACGATATCGAGAAGGCCCCCAAGAGAACAACGGACAACACCTCGACCCTCTTTATCCGCAACCTACCATTCACAACCACCGACGAGCAACTCAAGGGTTTCTTCGGTCACTTTGGCAAGGTCCGGTATGCTCGTGTCGTCATGGACAAGGTCACCGAGAAGCCCGCCGGAACTGGCTTTGTGTGCTTCTTTGATGTCGAGGACGCAAAGAACTGCATCAAGGGGGCCCCCCGTCCTACTCAAGCCGTCACGGCGAACAAGAACTCGATCCTCCAGGACGAGAGCGCCGATCCTGATGGCAAGTACACCCTCGACGGCCGTCTTCTCCAGGTCGCGCAGGCCGTCAACAAGGAGGAGGCTAGCACCCTCGCCGACAGTGCTCTCGCCAAGCGTAACCAGAAGGACAAGCGCCGACTCTTCCTCCTCACCGAGGGCAACATCGACAGGAACTCGTCCATCTTCAACCTCCTCACAGAACCCGAGATCCGGATGCGTCAGGCCAGCGCCGCCCAGCGTAAAAAGCTTGTCCAGGGCAACCCTAGTCTACACATCAGTCTGACACGTCTGGCCCTGCGCAACATTCCACGCAACATTGGCTCCAAGGAGCTCAAGGAGCTTGCGCGAAAGGCCGTCGTCGAGTTCGCCAAGGACGTCAAGGCCGGTCGCCGACAGCCCCTGTCCAAGGAGGAGAATGCCCGTGACGGCAAGGATGCCAAGGAGAAGGAGCAGCAGCGCAAGGCCAAGGGCAAGGGTATCGTCCGTCAGGCAAAGATTGTCTTTGAGAGCGCTCAGGGACAGAAGCTACAAGAGAAGGAGGGTGGCAAGAGCCGCGGTTACGGCTTCATCGAATACCACTCGCACCATTGGGCGCTGATGGGACTCCGATACCTTAACGGTCTCCAGCTTGAGAACGATGCCGGCAAGAAGCAGAGGCTCGTCGTGGAATTCGCCATTGAGAACGCTCAGGTCGTGCAGCGACGACGAGCCAACGAGGAGAAGTCTAGGCAGATGCAACCAGACCAATCCAAGCCTAAGACCGAGTTTGCGCCTAAAGAGAATTCACGATTCTCCAAGGACAAGGGCAAGCCACGTGGACGAAAGGGCGGCAAGCCTGCCGAGGCCGATGCGGCGGAGGAGGACACCGGCAAGCCTAATGGCAAGGAGGATATGAAGCAAAAGTTGATTGCGCGGAAGAGGCTCATGCGGAAGAAGAAGGCCCAGATCCGAGGCAAGAAATAAGTGCTGGCATTTGATACCTAAAATGTTGATTTTGGCGTTGTACCAGGGTAGTGTTTACTCAAACGTGTGTAAGTGAGATGTTAATAAGTGACTCTGATTAGAGACTATCCAAAACTGTTTAAGAATGTGAAAGGCTTCGGTTCCCTTTTCCAGCCATACAAATACATTTTCCCATGTCATTCAAATCATACATCGTTGAGTCGAGATTTCAGAAAAGACCTAGAAACTCTCCTCGACTCTTATTTCCAAAACCATCCCGTCTTGGTCTCAACACGACCCTCAGCCTTGATCCCAGATTTTTCGCCATCCTTGGCCTGCTCAATAGACTCTGCATTCTTCTCATCCTTCTCGGCGGGCCGGACGGTATAGTGGGTTTCACTTCCAATCTCGTTTCCTTCCTCGTCCAGGGTCTTGACCGTGGTCTTGCTGTGGAGGTAGCCAAACCGATCAACGTATTCATCCTTGGTCACCACACGCTTCTTATCATCTGCCGGCTTATCGGACAGGGGTTTCCTGTCGAAGGAAGAAGGATGGCCCTCGGTTATAGACTTGACAAACGAATCCCATGTGGATTGGGCGTCGGAGAAGGATGACTGAACCGAGTTGAAGAATTCATCAAAATTATCGGGCTCACGTCGGCGTTGTCTATGTTGCTCGGAGTCTTCGAGAAGAGGATTGTGACCGTGGAAGCCTTCATCTTCGTCCTTTTGTTCATGGCGGGGGGTATCATCGATGCGATCTTGCCGCTCTTCTTCACCCATGGCTGCCCGCCAGACATTGGCAGCCCTTCGGTCCAACTCGCGGTGGAATTGTTCCCAATTGTGGTTCGCCGACTTCATCCATTGACTAGGTCCTGTATCCTCCAAGAGACCCTGAGATCTCAGCCTACGCATCCAGAACCACGCAGGCTCGCCGGTCGGAAACATGGATCGAAGGAGCTTTCGCTGCTCATATCGGGCGGTGATATCAGGCAATGGTTGACCCTGTGATACGGCAAGCAAATCTTCAAAGGCGTCTTCAAAAGTAAAGATGGAAGCATCCAGGTTTGAGGGAGCATCACTAGGTCGAGGTTGTGGCATGTCGCGAAGGGCGAGAGGAGAGTAAGAGGAGAGAGCTACAGAGGCCATGCTCTCATTAGGCCATCCAAACTCAATCTCGAACGGGCCAAACATTGTGTATTTCGTCGTCGGGGCCGAGTCTTGATGGTGAGATGAATCTCCAGTCGAACCTGAGGTTGAGGCTGATGCTGAGAATGAGCCGTTGAAGCCAAAGCCTGACCGTTTAGAGCTGTCGCTTTCGCTATCGCTTTTGACGAGGCGACCAAAAAGGTTGGATTGCGAATCGTTGTCTTCACGACCCATAACGAAGAAGGGCACGTGGGTTAAATCGATAATGTCGCTGTTGTTGGCGCTAAAGTCGAAGCGATTCGTGATGGTTCTAGAAATTGGGAGTGAAATGAACTGCTCATGACGACGCGAGCCGAGACTGAGCTCATCCTTCGAGTGTGGGGCTATTATGACGGAAGATCCGGGAAACGGAAAAGTCCGGTGGGGGGTTCAACTTGGGTGAGGAGAGTAAACGGGCAGCTACGACTGGTGGCTTGCGCTCGTCAGGACCCTTGGAAAAGGCTTGGACCCTCTTCTCAAGCCTCTCACGCCACACAGAGGACGCCACGATAACGGTACGTACCGCGTGGTTCTTGAGCGAGGTGGAGTGCTTTCCCATTCGCATGCCTCGGGTTTCTGGCAGCAAATGCGAAATGACAGCATCCAGATGGGGCCCGCCAAGCCCGTGGCAACCGCCAAAAATTACTGAACGGAGAATGGACGGGGATTGTTACAGCCCGTTACTCCTCCACGTTTACGACTCCAAGGCAAACTCCATCTTGATCTCGCTCACGACGGCTGCTCATCTCTGAGACGCCGTCCTTTCCCGCCTATCTATCTCTATCTCTCTCTCTGTCTGGCGCTCAGACTCTTCTCCTCCGCTGGCTGCTGGTGGCTGGCCATGTTGTGTGCGACGCAGCTCTCTAGAGGTCACTCGCTGCCCCCATGATACTACCGATTCCACCACAACGACGCCAATTACGCCCGTCATCCGCACACGCTCGGCTGTCTTGTCCCCCGTCTCCGGCGACCTGAACTCCGATTCTCCGACTCTTCCGCGTCTTGCTCTGACCTCCTTCTTTCTCTCCACCACCGCAACCTCAAACCGCGTCGTCGCTCTCTTCTCCTCCATCTCCTCTCCTCCTCCCCCGGGCGCCCGACGATGCCGCCGGCCATTGTCGAGCCGCCATGGCCATCGCTCGTGGTCGACCAGTGGCCGCGAGCCACCTCCAACGACACATCCGACCCCGGCGATGTTGGCGATAACCTGCAGGAATGGTCATCGCTCATTGGCATAATCACCGCCATCGTGGGCAACATCCTCATCGCCCTCGCCCTCAATGTCCAGCGATACGCCCACATCAAGCTTCACAGACAACGGAGTAGGAACCGCAAAAGAGCAAGAGAGGCCCTGAAGCATGCTCAGAATGGCGATCATGGTACATCTTACGGTGCCATTGGAGGGGACAGCCATACCAATGGATATCAGAACGGTCACGGAGCTTCTGGCATCTCTGCGGAGCAAGAGAATCTCATCGACGAGGCCCGCGAGACTGATCCTTTGACAGGATCATTTCATTCTGAAGAGTCCATCAGCACTGATAGTGAATCAAACAACCAGGATAAGGCCGCATCGACATATCTCAAGTCACCCTACTGGTGGCTAGGCCAAGTCTTGATCACACTTGGTGAGATGGGCAACTTCCTCGCATATGGCTTTGCTCCCGCGTCCATCGTCTCCCCGCTCGGTGTCGTCGCGTTGATATCAAACTGCATCATCGCTCCCGCCATGTTCCATGAGAGATTTCGTCAACGGGACTTCTGGGGCGTTGTTATTGCCGTCGCCGGTGTTGTCACTGTTGTTCTGAGTGCGAAGCAAGAGGAGACCAAGCTGAATCCCCATGACGTATTGGATGCCATCACGGCGTTGCCATTTGAGATTTACTTGGCCGTGACCATCCTTCTTATCATCGTCCTCATGTGGGCAAGCCCGAGGTATGGGAGGCAAACCATCCTCATCGACCTTGGGCTTGTCGGTCTGTTTGGTATGTGACATCATGTTCTGTTGTGAGCACAGAACTTCAATACTGACTGAGAGATAGGCGGATATACTGCTCTCGCAACCAAGGGCGTCTCGTCGATGCTGTCTTCTACCCTCTGGCGCGCATTCACTACTCCCGTCACCTACGTACTCATCTTTATCCTTCTCGCCACCGCCGTCATGCAGATTCGTTATGTCAACAAAGCCCTACAACGCTTCGACTCAACGCAGGTCATCCCCATACAGTTTGTCATGTTCACTCTGTGCGTTATCGTAGGCAGCGCCGTCCTCTACCGCGACTTTGAGCGAACCACGGCTGAGCAGGCGACCAAGTTTGTCGGCGGCTGCCTACTCACCTTTTTCGGTGTCTTTCTCATCACTAGTGGTCGTGAGCAGAGCCACAACGACGATGACGAGGTTCTATCTGATGCCGAAGGCGTGGAGGAGACGATTGGGCTTGCCAATCAAGACGCCAACCCAGCTTCACCACTCCATGATAACCAAGATTTCCCAACCCCAAAGTCGCAATCGCGCCGGTCTAGTTATCTGTCGCCCCTCAGCTACCCTGAGGCACAGAGGGCACTGATAGCAGCTGTCACGCCACAGCATGATGGCAACGTACCGTCTGTTAAGATCATGGATTCAAGTGCTTTGCAGCAATCCCCACGTCAGGAGGCTCCAGTTTCCGGCTTCCCCTGGAACGACGTGGGGGGGCCATCCACGCCCCCGGGAAGAGGCAAAAGGGCATTTTCAACGGATTCGGTCCTGGGGCCGTCTGGCACTGCTGGTTTAACAGCATCTGTATCACATCCAACAACCCCGTTGAGAGATCCCGACGGGGTGCTTCCTCCGCGTCCCGGCGCAAGCCCGACCAAGCCTGGTGGCAGCGGCACACACGGTCGCTCCAGGACCTTTATCTCGCCGTCGCCTCTCTCGTCGACGGTCACGGCTGTCGTGAAGGACGCCTTCCTGCGCGCCTCGGACGACCCCCGCTTGCGCCAGTCCTCGATGCGGCGCATACGCTCCACTATCCGCGCCGGCCTATTCTTCAACGAGGAGAGCGAAGCGGCTGGGGACAGCAACGACGCGGGCAACCCCCGCGCAAGTACCCTGCCGGCGCACGCGGTGGTCCCGGGCTCGGAGGACAACCTCGCCAGTGCCCTAGACGAGGCTGAGGGACCCGCAGACGGCGATGATCAGGTGCGCCGGAGGTCGCGCAGTGTCAGTGACACCCTGGGCGACTTTTTTGGCGTCAGGAGGAAGAAGCGCAAAGACGGCTACTTTGCTGGCGACATAGAAGATGGGCCGACTGGAACGACCGCCCCACGACGCAACCACGAGGGGCAGTCTGGCGATCGACGAGAAGGGGCCCACGACGTATAACAACACCAACTACTTCTAATTATCATCTTCATCTTCTCGCGACTCGGCATTCGTTAGCATGCATATCTTGTTTCTGGCCGGCGCCGGAGTCATTTTATTACCCGGGCTTCTAGCGTCGGCGTTTGGGTTCGGTAGATTGTTAGAGCGGGCAGGGGAGATGAACCTGGAGCCTTTTGCCTGGTTTGGCATGCTTTGGACTTTTGAACTGCTGTTTTTAGGATGGTGGCCGGGTTCTCTTGGCGTGAAACCTCTGGATGGCACCCAAGGATTGCGTAGTCTCATAGTGATCACCAGGGCGGCTTCAGTCTGTCCTGGTCTTCTTAATCTTGAATAATGGATATATACGTGTATACCGCTTCCTCGGTCACAGCCAAGGGAAACGTTCAATCCTGAAACGGAACCGTCCATTTCCTCTGTCGATCGCGACGAGGAGGAAGAAAGAAGTGCCGTAATTGGCCAGGCTAGGCAAT